TATGCAGATATCAAATTTTCTCATCGTAGAGTTTTTGTTTGATATAACAATGAGAAATATTATGAAAATACGTATGTATATAATTTATTATGTATAAGCCACCTTCACATCGATTTGTTTGCTTTGTTATATTTAAAGAATTGTAGTTTAGATAATTATTTATTTAGAAAAAAAATGTTAAAATATAAATGATCATTATCCAACACATACACTTCCGGGTTTCTACCCCCAAATATACTTATACTTCTAGAGTGATATTACTATGTATATAAACATTTTAAAATTGATTTGTAAGAAAATAATATATTTACATATGACTAAATCATTCCGTTTATTAAAATTATTTTAAGGAATCTCTTAAAAACGAATTTTAAAAACTTTGTCTTGCATCATGTGCGGGTTTTGATCATACTCCTGTTTTCTGTGCATATAACTTTTAGTTTTTAATAGGATTCTATTTCTTTAGATATTGATTACATCGTAGATTAATATTGGATAAGCCCTATTCTTATTGTCAGATAATAGTCATTCGATTTAAATCTCTCAAATCTCTCTTATCTTCTTAAACACTAATTTCTCCAAATGAATTTTACTCAAGTCTTACTTGATTCTATTTCTTTAGATATTGATTACATCGTAAATTAATATTGGATAAGCCCTAATTCTTATTGTCAGATAATAGTCATTCGATTTAAATCTCTTAAATCTCTCTTATCTTCTTAAACACTAATTTCTCCAAATGAATTTTACTCAAGTCTTACTAATATTCTTTCGATAACGTTACAATGAATATATTTATAGATATCGCATAGAATACTCTCATTGCTTCAATTATATTTTATATTATTCTACAAATTTTTGAAAACTAAATTAAATTGATCTTCAATTAATTATTATAAGAGAAGCACGGTGTGCTTTATTTGACTACAAAATTAATTGTACTCAACTTTATGGGTCCTTTTGATTAATTGAAATTTCCATGCATTTTGACTACAGACATAAGTCTGTATCGTATTTAAAATGCTTCTATAAAATTTACTCAAGCATTATCGTAGTCATACCTTACGGCAGTGTATTAACACTGTTATAAAGTATATGTAAATATAAACATGTGAAGATATAAACATTCTTTTTGATACAAAATTCCTATCGATCTCCCTAATGTTCGTATGGAACATTGTTTTCCAAGCACTCAGGCATTGCATTCCACATATAGATAGATACATTATTTAAATTTGTCTGCTGTATTTTGTCGCAATCAATACAAAAAACAGTATAGCCTTCGCTTTTAACATGAAAATCTAAATAAACATTTTTACATATACAATATATACAATGAGATACAATTTATTTTCTTGTCGACTATTTTCCAATTAGATTTTTATTTACATTTTACTCATTTACATATACCTAATCCAGAAAGAATAATAAAACTCTCTAAAAAAGAACGTTATTGATTGTGTGCAGTTAAATGTACATAAAGGTAAAAGCGTCTAAAGCTTTTTGGCTCTACCACCGACTAACCCCAATGCCATCTCTTCCGTCATTAATGCTTATCTCTCATAGTGTCAATATATGCTTTTGCGCCATATGTGCGGGTAGAGTAGAGTATGGTAGGGTAAAGCTTAAAATGTGGGTTAATACATCATTAGACTGTCTTTGCCATATGAAACTCAAAGTGTAATAAAAATAACTAAAGCTGTTTATTTATTAGTGAATTGGAAAACTCTTTATATACATATATATAAATATATATCATTGTTATTAATATTCATATAATTTTCCCTAAACTATTAGATTATTTTTTAAGTGTTGTATTCCTGGGGTGAATTTTTTAGACATTTCATTAAACATTTCTAAATATTATTATGCATTTAAGCTTTATATTTGCTTTTTGACTTGACTATAAACTATAGTTTCTAAAATAGTATACAGAACAGTTTTGAGTGCATACAATTCTGCATACTAAAACTTAGCAATTTATTTTTATATTATGCCAGTAGTGGCACGAAAGAGCGAGAATAAAATAGTGTAACTTCACCAAGAAACTAAAAATGTGTATGGTTGGTTTGTTGGTTGCAGTAGCAGGGGTCATTCGATAACTTCCTTGTACCTCCATTAGCGATTTTTCGTCGTTTTGCTACTACATTCCTCGCAAGAACCCTAGTAGAGACTAAATCCAGCAAAGAAGTATCTTCCTAAAAACCTATATCTTCTGGACGCCAAAACCAGGCATTCACAGAGAAAATGTATTATAGTTTCTTTTAACTGCGGGTTTCCACAACTTCTGCGGTGAGGATTATGAGAAACGCGCAGTTTCTCTACACCAATGACCAGAAAGAACTGCAGTAAGCCTTGCAGTGTTCACTCGGTCACTTTTGATTTTTATTATAGGTGAGCCTTGCTAACCTGGAAGTTGCACATGACTTAGTGCGTTCCATCTGTTATTGGCAAGTTGCAGAAATTATAGGAAGGTACTTCTCTTAATGGTCTCTAAGATAATATAAACCGGTACCGGTGTAAAATATATATTGTATAATTAATATAAATATATAATGTATTTATTTTTATATATTAATATAAATATTGGAAAACCATTTTATCTCTGTTACTACTGGGTGCAAAGTACATTCCGTTTTATTTAAACCATTGCTTTAAAATTTTAAAGACAGTCTTATTAAGCACTGAGAAGACATAATCCTGTTTTATAGAATATAAATTATTGATTAATATTTGTTTGCGTAAAGTCTTTTCAGATCTTTTAGGAAGCTTGTTAAAGATTAGCCTAACATATAAAGGATACATATTAACAGGAAAAGAAAAAAGGGCGTATATAGGAAACGTTTGATGAGATGTTGGGAGAAAATTAAATTTTGAACGTTACCCAAAATTGAGATACTATTGAGTCTGCAAAAGGATGATTTTAGAAATACTAGATCTTCAAAAAAAATTTATTATGTTTTTAAATAATTTTGATATAATTTTATATTATATCAATATAAATAGTTTTGAAATAGCTTTGAAATGAAAATAGGCAATCTCAAAAAAAAAATTAAAGTTGTAGTTTATAAGTTCGTTCTAATTTAAAGCACGGCAAGTGTTTTGGTTAGTGTGATTAAAAAAGTAAAAAGTGACAAAAAACCTGGAACTTGAGTATTGAAAGTTTTTTCAGCCTTGGCTACTTGTGGAAAAACACGATTAGTCATCGCTTCTAATTTGACAGGTACGAGTTCCAAGCCTGGAAGAAATTCGAATATTTGCTAAGACCACTGCCGATGAGAACTTTGCAATACTCGAAACAGCATTGTAAACAGCATGCTAAGACAAATTATGAATAAATTAACTAAATTGTTGTTCTTGTCTTTTCTTTGCTATTTAAATCCTTCATTAATTTTATATTATTATTTAGTTTCTAAATTTTTCTTATCATTTTTCTTTCTTAAACCAGTCGTTATTTTACTTTATTCAATTAATTTTTATGTTAGAACAGACAATCATTCTTACGTTTTAACAATTTTGACAGGTATGGGCTCCGTTAGTTTTATTCAAAAAACCTTTTTTTTCACTTTTCGTTCACATATACCATCAATATATGTCTCCAACTACTATATAAACAATGATATCATTTATTATCACAGTTCGTTTCTGTGCTCAGTAATCTTCAGTGCATTTTCATTATGTATTTTCTTAACTCTGTAGTGAGTTGACATTTTCTTAACCTTAAATTTATGTATATGAATTTAATGTATATGAATTAGGTTCGCTTTAATAATTGCCTTCAATTTCCGGGTTTCTGTTACTACGCACATAGTGATAGTGTACATAATAGATAAAAATATCTATTAGGCTTACGCAGCGTTCGTAAAGTGAGTTTAAAATTATATGTTTAGAGAGACACTATACATGTTCACTTCATAAATCAAAACTCAAGCACGTTTAAAAAAAACTTATGTGCGTATTTTATAGTGGCAATCAATATTCATTTAACTATGTTATAAGTACTTAAGTGAAGGCTACTCTAAAAATGTGACCAAATAAACCATATATTTTACTTTATAAGTCAGCAATATTGAATCCATTAAACAATTTTAATTAAATTTCATTATTTTGGCTTGTTCAAAATAATTTAATTTATTGTGTAAAACCTTAAGTTCTTCTAGGAAATAATTGATTCACCAGCATCATCAATTCAATTCGAAATATTCTTTTGAAAATGAGATTAAACTCCATCTCATTTGATTTATTATTGTACGCTATTAAATTATTAAATCATTTGGACTCTTAAGCATGAGAATGGAGTTGACAATAACAAAACAGCTAACAGAATTTCAAAGCGGGGTATCAAAACTGTCTTTATAGTCGTGTAACTTTCTCGGAATGGAATATCGACTACAAATAACTGCACTTATACTTAAATATTCTAAATATGAACTATTCCCAAGTCAAAGTCTAATTCGGTTCAATAATAAAAATAATTCTTAATAGCATATAATCTTTTTAACTATATTTTGGAATCTATAGATTTTATTAAGAGTATAACGAAACATTTAACAATCTTCCTAGCAATTACTAGTAAATAAATCCGATTACTTTATCTATCAGTCGTGGCACCAAAATAATGTGATATGAATAGTAAAGAAAATTTGTGTATTTGTGCAAGAAATAGTTCCTATAAGGTGATATAAAAATTTTTCTTCTAGATCTCTTCTAAGATCTCAACAGCTGATTGCAAAATAATCTGACTGAAACATACTTTTTCTAATTTGATTGTACCAAATTAGGGTTTCTTCATTATTGCCCAAACAATGATAACATAAATAGAAAATAGAGAGTTGTGTTTGAAATAAATATATGATGTAGAGATGTAGAGAGAGGCGATAAATGCATATCAATATATTTAGGTCTGCTTTTATGAACATTTCTATACATATTTTTTTGAAATTATCAATAATTGTGTTATGAATTTCAATTAATTTAGATTTATCGCTTTTTTATTTTAGATTATGGCAAATTTAAACTTTCAACAACCTCCCAGAAGCATAGCAAATGCTTCTCTAACGGGCAGAACTACAGGCGGTTTTGGAGGCAGTTCGTTATCAGGTCATGTAACACCCACGTCTGGAATGTTTCCCACAGGTAAGCTGATAAGGTTCTTGTATATATTTTTTTTCATTCACTTAGTTTGATAATATTTTACATTTGTATTGTACAGGCGGCGCGAATTACGGACAAGCGCAGCAACCTCAACTTTCGCCTAATCGTAATGGACAGTTATCAGTCGGTGGTCCCGCGTTATCAAGTGGTGGTAGGGCAAATATATTTGGACAGCGAGCGTATGTGGAGAGACGCGCTATGCAAGGATTAGGAGGTGGCCCAATGGTAAATAATTATAAACTAATTTAATAACTTATTTTTTTTTATATTTTTAGTTAGTGTTTAATACCAAATTATTTTATGTTTATCTGTTTAATGTGCGTATTGTGTAAATTTAAAATTGCAATTTGCTTACTCACAGAATTTTAGTTTCTGATAAGCACACAGATTATAGTTAGTATGCATTTCACTTTGAGAGCTAAGCGCACGCAGTTTTTTTAAACGTCAAGATTTTTATTGCATTCATTATAGATGCAATATAACACGTACATCATTAAGTGTTTTATAAGGCAATAAAAAATAACTTGGCGTTAAGACACTGTGAAGTAACTTCATTTTTTTTTATTTTTTTATTTTTTTTTCAACTTTAAATTAAGATTTTATTGTAACAATTAAATTTTTATATATTTTTGATTAGACTTAGAAATGTTATAAAATTAATTATATAACTTTATTTCGTGTCTGCAAATGAGTATCGTTGATGTTCTTTATAATTTCATCTCCTTACAAAAAAAACCATAATGTGGTGTTTTAAACATAACTTCGCACTGTTAAATGAAAGCACTACATCCACTTGAGATGCAGTTATTTAAATCTAAAAGTTTGCATACTATTTTCTAAACTCATTTCGTAATTCATTTTACTATATATATGAGATTTTGAATAATGTATTCAAGAGTCACAATATAAAAACGCCATTTTAAGATCACTTTGCCACCGTTAGTTTCAATTTTTCGAGCATTGTTTATAGCATTCGAGCTAAAGTCTTGGTAAAGCCGTAGGCTATATGCAGTCACACGATGGTTCATAATTAACATAATGCATGCTATTATTCTGACACAGAAGTTGCCAACCCCTTTTTTTTGGCTACATTTATTTTAATCCAAATATCGAAATTGGGTTTGCTCTCTCCTACTCAGTAGAAACAAATTGACTCTAGATAAAGTAGTCTCTGCTAATACGATCGATATTTATATATACGAAGGAATCGGCAGATGCAAATTTTCTAGAACAACTGTGTTTACAATCTCGCTTCGATTAACGAACCGTTACAGCATTATTCATACAAATGGGACAAATTCATTAAACAGCAAATGGAAATTAAGTATCAAGATTGTAGTAAGCTGTACAGCTGGATCCTTAAACCTTGTCTTAGGTTTGTCAATGTCTCTATTTATATGAGTATCCGGACATAAGGACTGCAGTGCTGACGAACTAGCTAAAGTAGACACACTATCTTCTTCGTATAGTAATATCCTATTTGCAACAGCCAAGCTGATCACAAAACGTAAATACCTAGCTATAGCTAAAAGCGCATTTACCTATGCGTCAGAGAAATCTTACAAACAAAGATTTGTGTCAGACCTCAAGATTTATTTGGCAGAAATTGTACAAGAAGCATTCAAGTCAACTCCTTAAACTAAAGCGAAATCAACTTATTGCTAGGGTATCGGGGCTGAAAAGGTCACTGCGTACTAGGAAGTCATAAGATAATTATCAATTATAGTGAAAATTTTATGATTTTATACGTAATCGATAAGACTTTACTTTCCTTCAATCAGTATCAAAGAATATATACATAATTTAACCAATGCAATAAATAATAGAAGATTTTAATTTAGCGTTTGATTAATAAATTATATATTAATATTATAAATTGATATTTTAATAAGTAAAAATAAATACAAATTTTGCTATATGTGTGTTAAGAAGTTTTATTGAATATTTAAATTATATAATTATTATTTTAAGTTAATTATTTTAAATTTATTATATAGTTTTAAATTAGTTAATAATTAAATATTTTCTCTCTTCCATTTCAGTCAAATATGGGTAATTTTATGCAAACGGGACGAGGTGGTTACGGTAGCGGCGGTGGCGCTGGTGGTCCACTAAATAACTTCCATAATGTATTTGGCGGTAGTGGAGACACAGCAACACCTGCATTACTTGATCCATCGGAATTCCCATCACTGACGAATGTACGCGGCCAGAATGATCAATCACTGCCTCAGACGAATCCCCTCCAACCACCGGGAAGCAAACCCTATGGTAATTTCTTTACCTCTTGTGAGTTTTTCAATGATAATATCCTTATCAAATTTTTCTACTCGTTTTTTTAAATAACCATAAATTTGTTAATATATTGTGTAATGGTATTTTTTAAGATAATTTTGTGTAAAACGTTTATAAACTAAAACCAATTCATTTTTATTTGTGTATTTTGACATCACTTTTACATTTTACATTTTACATTTTACATATAACATATTACATTTTTATTGTCTTTAACTTTTATCTCTTTTTGATATACATATATATATAATTGCTTCTTGGCGTTGGGTTTGCTTTTAAATACTCTTTATACGTAAACCTTTTTAACATATTAAGGTGTTTTTACTAGTATTTATTTTGTTAAAATTTGTTATAAAATTTATAAAAAAATTAATAATTTTTTGTAGCTTTTAAACAATAGAAACACATACAAAACTTTGAGGATGCATTTGGTTCTCACGAGCATTATACATTAGCATTATATTTTTAATTATAAAACTACTATTTAAGCTTCAATTTATATACTAATATATCTGCACATTGAATTTATGATGGTTTGTTTTTCTGTTTGTTATTTATTTTTAGTTGGTATGGTGAAACAACCTACGTCAGAACAATCGGAGTTCACAATGTCAAATGAAGATTTTCCTGCCTTACCGGGTACTCAAAATTCTGACGGTACAACGAATTCAGGCTTAACAGAGAACAATCTCGATGGTACGGAGAAAACAATGAATTCGATTGTAGGAGGCAGTGGGTTAGGCGCAGTAGGCAGTAGTGTTAGCGGTAATAATGGTGGCAGCAGTGGTAACGGTGTTGAACATATAAATGATAATTCCAGCGAAAACAAACTTGTAAAAAGTGGAGTGCAAACATCACCTGATGGTAATAACATATATTTTGCAACTCTTTCATTATAACCTTCATAATTTATCTGTTTATTTTCGAAATATATAGGTAAGGTCACAAACATCCCAGCGAGTATGGTGAATAATCAATTTGGTATGGTGGGTCTTTTAACATTCATCCGAGCGGCGGAGTCCGATCCTAACTTAGTAACGTTAGCTTTGGGCACAGATTTAACGGGCTTGGGTTTAAATCTTAATTCACAAGAAAGTTTACATCCTACATTCGCTGGACCTTTTGCGGATCAACCCTGCAGGTAATATTTAATAACAACTAAAAGGATTAATTTAATGTAAATCTTCTTAATGATGAAATAGGTACAGGAAAGTGTAATATATTAAATAGTTTTAACAGAACAAAACTGTATTAAGTTTTTTGCTCAATAGCTTACTTACACTTAAAATAACTTATGAATGATTATTCAATATATGTATTAATATGATTTAAAAGATAATGTTCTATTAAATTGAATTTTTTAATATTACAATATAAATTGAATACATTTTGAATAGTTCTTCTAGTGTATATTCACACATTCTAGTATCTCATTCTGTACTGATCTGATATGTTTTAGAAAGCAATATGTGTTGTTTAGCACAATAAAAGTATTAGACGTACTGTAGCTGTATTAAATATATACAATATCTCAGATATTTTATATTGGTAATAAAACAGTTACATCTCGAAAGTATATTGGCCATTATTGTTTGAAAATTTAATAGCCCATCGGGGTATCAAGCACAGACAAATTGATTGTTTATAGTCCTTTTGTTAAATAAGTTGTTATTTCCGTCCTTTGTGAAATACTATTAATATAAGAGTAGGCTAACAAACGGAAAACTTAACAAGAAAGCTATTTATATTATTTGTATTAAAATATAAAAAAAAACTAGTAATGCAAATCAAGTAAAAGTGTATAGAAAAAAGTTTAAATTTATATATCTTGAAATTATAATTAAAAATAGAACATGTAAAAAACCTATGGTCAGTGGTTTGCAACCAAAAATTTAAATGGATATGTAATGTTACTTGGAGTAAACTTGCAAGGTCGACTTGCATTTATAATAACAAATTATTTGCAGCAAGCAACTTTTCAGTATAGCATTTTTATATAATCTAATTTAGGGAAAAACCATTATTTTTAAAAAACATTTGAACGCTTGAAATGTTTAAATACAATTTTTCCACAGAAACTTTTATTGTGGAATTATTCTTCCGTTTATTTATTTTACTTTTTGGGTGTCTACTATACTTTTCTGTACTTTGCTGTTTTTAGTGCTGTTGCATGGCACTTGCACTTTTATTTATTTTAATATAAATTTATGATCTAAGTTGAGCAATAACGGTTAACGTGAGTAAACTGAACGTATTTACTTAGTAATTATTATATGTTTAATTTATTATATGTTGGAATATTTATTTACTGTATAGCATTTTTAATGACTTGTTTAGTTCAGTGAATAGAGTGTGAGAATTTTCAGTCATTGATATTAGATGAAGATCTGACATATACAGTGTTGGGCGATTGAAGTGTTACCAATTACAAACAGGTATATCTGTCAAACTGACATTGCGAATTACGTGAAATTCATACGAATGACAGCTGTTTATATTGTTTACAAGATACCACAATCACTTGCGTCTAAATTTTATAGAACAAAAGTTATTCGAAATGTAATTCAAACGTAATAGTATGATTGCGTTATATTTGTGAGCTCAAACAATTGAAAGTGAATAAAATGTTTATGTATCGTACCATAAATTGTTATAATAGTATAGACAATGTCGCCAAATGCTATGGTTGTAGCAAAAAAAGACAGCAACGTCACCTGAAATGGTTCGGAAAGTGAAGGTTCGATTTGAACGAAATCCACGTCGAAGTGGTAATCAAATGGTCAAATGGTCATATTCCAAAATTAGCTCAAGTAAACCCTTACAAATTTCAAAAGGTACAATATCTTAAACCAAAGCAACAAAAAGTTACACTCGAAAGAGTAAAGGATTGTATTCTCTGATAGAAAAGATATCCCCATTGAAAGTTCATGAACTCTCAAAATGATCGGGTAACTGCCAATGGATGCTCTCAAATCGTTTTCATCGAGCCTGGGGTCAAAGTCAATGCGATTTATTATCGGAAAAATCGTTTGGACGTAGCTTGAGAGCCATGGGCATGCAAACATTTCGGTGGTAGACCATGAGAAGTTCCAACAAGAGTTGGCACCGGTCTCATTGTGAACCAAGAATGGTTAAAAAATCATGTTTCATACTTCATTTTGTCCACACAATGGCCAGATGCAAATCCGATGGAATATTCCAATTGGGGCATTAAGTCTAACAACTTAGTCTAATTCCGAAAGAAACCTTTAGTTTGTAGTATGAATTGTGCATTAAGGTATATATCAGTTATGAGATCAGAATTAAGAGTACTTTTATATGAAATACACTGGTGCTGGATTTATAGTATATTCGGTATCAGTGTAACAATTTTCTGATTAGTTACTTGAAATGATTCGATAAATATTATGATTATTTCTGTTAGAAATTATTCTATAATTTCAGTACAGTAGATCTTTACTAGACCGAATCCTCAGGTAATTCGAATTACTTCATAGTCCGAGCAAATTTACAATATGCATTATACGTGCCTTGTGATCACGATTGACCACTAATTATCTAATCGAAATCATATCTATTTATATATATAGTATATGGGTTACGCATGTATCATTTAATTGATGGATTAATTTAATTAGTAGTAGATAACTGTTCAGTTTTTATTGTTTATTGTTTCTGTTGTTTAAATAAATATAATATGTATAAGACTTTTCCTGCATATCTCCAATATCCGAATTGGACCCAATATTAATGGATCCGGATTAGCAGATCTATTAATATTTGCAGTTATATAAAGAAAATATCAATTATGTATAATTATCCAACATAGATTTAGCAAACTTCTTCATCACTAAAACATTTTTATCTATAACATTTTATCATATATTGAATTTTTTTTATATAAATATTTATGTCTTTTTTTTTTTGTAGAGCACAAGACGTGGACTACAACGTTCCACCTGAATATTTGATTAACTTTGCGATAAGAGATAAACTTTCATCTCCGATACTGAAAAAGCTACAAGAAGATCTTCTATTTTTCCTGTTCTATACGAATATAGGTGACATTATGCAATTAATGGCAGCAGCGGAACTGTAAGTATATATACATGAATATAGAAGCCACTTAGGGGAAAACCTTTATTCATAATTTTTTTTCTTTAATATTATTGCAGGCATAGTAGAGAATGGCGATACCATATAGAAGAAAAGATTTGGATTACTCGAATTCCTGGCATTAATCAATATGAAAAAAATGGTACAAAAGAACGTGGCACGTTTTATTATTTTGATGCGCAAAGTTGGAAACGGCTGTCCAAGGTATTCCAAATTGATGCCGAAAAATTAGATAAATGTCCAAATATAAGCGCGTTTATGAACATGAATGGACAGTCTGTATAATAATAATAAAATACAAAAAACACGTAAAAATCTTAAAAAAATCTTTTTTTGAAAATAAGAAAAAAATTAACATAAAAAATAAAACGAAAAAGTATTTGAAAAATTTTAGCAAAAGAAGTGAGCGTCTTTATTTTTATGCAGATTATTTAGGTTTCTAAAGGATACTAGAAAATAAAATATAATTTTATTTAACACAAATAAGCATTTATAGATAAGCACACACGTCTTAATTGGAAGTATATATAAACTTTTTACTGCCTTAATGATATCTTAAATAGGCAATATATACTGTTATGCCTGCTCTTGATCAAACATTCAAGTGTTATAGATTTTAAAAATTGGTAAAAAATTTCTTAAGATAAGCTTAAAGACAAAAATTAAATAAATTTTACAAGACTATTCTCAAGAATATTTTTTTAATTATACTTAAGGAAACATATTAATGGTAATAAGAAAATAACTGTTAGAGTTATATGGATGTTATCTCACTTTACCTCAGTTGATGTATGTCTTGGACACATACTATACAGCAGAACAGTATTCCACAGTATTATATATAATACCAAGAATTTTTGAACACTAGTAAATTACAATAATGAAACCTAACACTACCTTTTTATTATTTATTAATTACTTGAATTTTTGGCTGACCATACAATTGTATTGTCATCATTTTTTGAGACTGCAAGTACCAAGGGTTAAACTGCTGCCCTGCCAAATTTAAAGCTGAGAGTCAGTGTTCAATAGTCAACTGACCCAAAATCGTACTTGACTTGTATGTAGTTTTGTTAATTTGCTGTAAAAGTTTAATAACAAACTCACTTGCTGTGTTATATTAGAACGAAATCCTAAACCAACTCATATTAAAACAATAAAACTAAAAGAAAGTATTGAACATATCAGAAAACTTAACGAACACATTTGATGCAATAATTGTAATCCAATTAAACATTATAATAGTCATCAAATATATGTGCCCTAAACAATTTTCAATTGATGGAAATAAATTAACTGTAAATATATTCGCGATCTGTCAAGTTTTATCATAAACATTTTTATATTTTTTTAATATTTATGTATGAATCTAAGTTGAATTTTAAAAAATCACATGCTTTCCTCTTCACCAATTTTTATTTTTCTATAATTACTTTTCAAGACAAATAATTATATATTATGTGTATTCTTTTGGCATGAATGCTCGCTCCAATAGAACTACTTTTGGTGCTTAAGAATAACTTGGCATCACTGCCTAAACCAGTAAACATATGACATGTAAGAAAATTTCTAATTTACGGTTAAATTTTATAAAAAAGTCATGTATATAAATATACATACCTATATATAATGAATGAATCGAAATGTTGCTGTAACTTTATTGGAAAGGACTGTTTCGCGATTGCTTTATATCAGTCACAGCACGGTCGCTATCAACAGTATATTCTTAATTTAATCTTAAAATATGTTAACAGTAACTTGATGAATACAAAACCATTGTCTTCAAATAATTTATATAATTTTGTTGCTGATCTGTTAGATTCATATGAATTGGAAAGCTTTAACAAAAATGCGAAAATATTAAACATCGTCAACATCAAACAACGTCATGGTATGCAGAAATTGTTTGAATTTAGTAAGGCATTTAGGCGATACGAGATCGATAATAAATAGGTTTATCTAATTTCGAAAATTATAACATCACTAGTTAATGCTAAATGAGCAGTATTTAACAGTGTTTTAGTTTTCAGCTAATTGTCTTATAACTTTTTTCTCTTATTTTAACAGTTGTGTTTAGTATTTATTCATGTATTGCATTTCTTAATAAACACAGAAATTTAAAATTCCTGAATAAATAATAAACTTCTTCACAATTACTAACCTGTTAGTAATTTTTAAAAAATTTTATTAAAAAATGACTTTTTCAAAATATTTAACAGTCGCTACAGTTGAAATTAATACACAGCTGACTGAAATTTTCCATTTTCTTCTAAAAATCATTCACAATCCGATTTATAAGTTGACACCATTAGGCCTTTTCCTTTGTAAGTATGTCGCAAAAGAATAAATCAAATTAGCATTACTTACAATGGCAACTCTGGACGACAAAATGGAAATTTTGTCAGGCTTATATGTGCAAACACGTAATAAAATTTAGAGTTAAAATTTCGAAAATGAATGATAATTTTTTGCAATTATTGGTAAAAATACTTTTTTTACATAATTGTGCATAAAATCTGGATTTTCATGCCTTTTTACAGTAAAATAATAAATAGAAAAAGTAACGTATTTGTTACGAGCAATGATGAAACGAAATACGAAGAATTAACAAAATCGTTCATTGGCAGTTAACAGAAAAAAATCGTTTACAATAGACATATTTTTATTCTTGGCAACATGCGATTTGAACTGCTTTTTAATTAAACGATTTCAAAACGGTTGGAGTGAATAACCCAGCAGTGCTGTTTTATATGTTATTTTTAAAATAAGCAGTTGTTCTTTTGTGATAAGTTTACAAAAGAAGAGGTCTATTGAAGTGCTATGTGCTTATTCGTTAAGCACTTTCAGAAAAGTGTTCTTATTTTGCGAATTTTGTTTTTGCTTTGTATGTTAATTTTTAATCGACACGTGTTCTATTGGAACTTTCATCTAGTCAACCTATTGTTGAATATTGAACAAAAACTATTCAAAACTGTATACATAATTTGAAAAAAAAATAGTAACATCTATATTCATTTCAAGTTTACAGAAGAAACGTCACATCTAATTAACTATAGAATATTATATTTTGATATAAAAAAAGTTATCGATAAATGCAATACAAAATTTTATTTGTGACAAATGTAAACAAGGCGCTTGCGTTAGTTTTTAAATTAATTTGAATTTTATGTTAGGGAACGAATAAAATCTAGATTTAAAGAGAGAAACTAGTTATTTAAAATGAACACACCCGGTCTTAGTATATTCCAAGGTGGTGACACTATGAAAGTGAATACCACATTAGAACGTCAAGAGGAAGAGGAGGCGCTGGAGGATCAAAGACGACGAAATGTGGAGGTGAATATATTTTCATATTGCATTATCATATGCAGCGGTATATAACACTTATTATATATTGAAATTTGTTAAACATAAATATATAAATATGGATGAAGTGCAAAGAATAGTCTTGTGCTGCGTAAATAATCTTAGGTGGCATGAGTTGCTTCTTACTGAAAAGTGACGCATCTGACTGGATAATATAAGGAATTTTGTATAAATTTTTAACTCTTTTGTGTACCATGTATTAAAACGATTCAACGGGTAAAATGTGCACAACATTATTTCTCTGTTTTAGAGATTATTTTTAATTGAATACGTACACATTATTTTTCCTAAATAAGTTGTAAATTAATATAATATAAATTTGTGCAAATTAAGTAATCATCAGTCAGTTTTTTTCCCACATACAATATCATAATAGACCAGTATGTATAACTAACGATTAAAGTTTTTTTCAATCATCTGAAATGATCGTCTTTATCTTACCTACCAACCGTAGTAAATATTTTCTGTGTTCGCTTAAGTTAATGTATTTTTTAAATGAATTACAATAATTATAACACTTTTATTTCAGCTTGGAAATTTGTTGCAAAATGCGTTCGATGACTTGGAAGATTGTGAATCTACTGTGGACTCGACTTGCAATTACCAATCTGATATAATTGATACTAATAAGGCAATACAGCATCATGATAATCTTCACTTTGCCGCCCAGAATAATAACAATAATATCGATCATCAAACCTGTGAAGCCCAAATATATCGCTTAAAGACAATGTTAGAGTCAAAAACTCATGAAGTAGAAAATATCAATAAAATTGCTAATGAAGAAATAAAAAAGTGTGACGAAATGCAGAAGCGTTTAATAATAACTGAAGCAGAATTATCGCACTCTCTTTCTGCAAAAGAAAGCACGTATGAGTTATTAGTGGAGAGCAAGGAAAAATGCTCCAATTTAGAAAATACAATTGAGAAAATCAAGTCTGAAAAAAGATCTTTAGAAAATGAGAATCAAGCCTTGCTGGGAAAATTAGAAACATCACAGGCTATATTATCAGATCTACAACAAAAGTTCGACATGGTGGAACGCGATGTGTTTAGAAAACACGATAGGAGTGCTGAGCAGAGGCGTAAGCAATGGGAAGAACGACAGCGCGCAGAAAATGAACTGATACTGCAACAAATGGAGCAGTTGAAAAGTAAATTGGAGAAAAAGTCAAATGATTTGGAATGTATGACAACGCGTTATAATGCATTACAAAGTAGCAATGAAGCGATGTTGGTGGATAAAGCCAGCAAAATAAATGATTTAACTAATGCACTCAGTGAGGCGCAGCGTAAGTGTGAGGAGCTTTTAACAAAGCCAGATTATTTGCAGGTTTGCACATATTTACAAAACAAAAAATAATAAAAAATTATTTAATTTTAATAATTATTTTTTCTATAGGAAAATATACGCTTACAGAAGTTAGTAACTAATCTTGAAGATCAAATACAATCAATGGAGAAAACTATTGGCACATTACGTGAACGTTTAGACTTTACTTCAGCAGAATTGGACGTTATGGATAGCGTTTTACAGCAGCACAATCTTGAAGATAGTATGCATAACAGGCTTAGTCCAACACGTATGAAAACGATTAGCACACCACTTACCACAATGGATCGAGTACAAAATCTTAAAGACGAACTGTATCGTGCTTTGTCAAATGTGAAAAGTAAGCGGGAAGAAATACGTAGGCTTACAAAATGTTTGGAAGATAAAAATGCAGAATTAGATAAATATAGAACTAAAGAAAATGCTGCACTTGTCGAAATCACAACCTTGAAAGAACAGAGATGCAAACTGCACAATCAAGTATTAATGCTGGAAGAAGAATGTAAACAATTGGCCAGCAGTTCGTTAGATAAGACTTATAATAATACGAAAATTAAAGAACTCAACCAAGAGTTATTGCAGTTGAAAGAGGAAAAAATGTGCTTAACGCAACAACATAATGAACTAGAACGTGTACGAAGCAACAATGAAAAAGAGCGTCAAAAACTGGACGCAAAGTTAAAGAATGTACAAGTTGACTTGGAAGAGCTGAAACAAGAATACGATAGTCTTAAAGCAAATTACGAGCTGTTGGTTGCGGAAAATAAAAAATTACATACTCGCGCAATTGCTGACAATGCGCTCCAACTTGAGCTGGAGAAACAGAAATTTTTACTCAAGGATGCGCAATCCGAGTGTGATCGTTTAAAAAAACTATACTTGGAGATAGCGAATTCTAAAGATGAGCTGTCATTTGAGGTCGAAAAAATGCGGAAAATGAACAGTGCTAAGGAATTAAATGAAGAGCGTGAAAAGACTGCTTCTCTACAAAAAGCATTACAGTTAACGGAAATGAAATCGTCGGAACTGGCCAAAATCTTAGAAACCGAAAAAGTATGCCACGAACGAGAAATGAAAGCGTTAAAGCAAAAAATTGAAAAAGAACTCACAAACCGCTTTAAGAGTGCCAAGGAAAGCTCGAACAACTGCACAAAGTGTATTGATCTGATGACAGAAGTTACCAAGGTAAGACAAAGACTGCCAATAGTAAATTTGTTATTTAATAATATTTTCTTTTATATTTAATTTTCTCAGCATGAAATTGCGAATCTAAAACTAACCAGCACTAATTCAGAAAAAAATGAAGAGATTATCAAACTTAATGCAGAGCTTGAGAACACCAAAATACTTGTGGCTGAACTTACTGAGAAAATGAAGCTAAGCGAACAGCAGGAAATACTGATAAAAGAACTTAAAACAAAGGCACAAAAATTCGAAGATTATATAAAAAGTCACAGCAGTAGCTCGGAACATAGTACTACCAAAGAACACGTGTCCAGCGATAAAAGCGTTTCTACAACACCAGAATTGATGAAGAATGAAGTACAAAAGATCGAATCCCGTATTAGAGAAGAAATGGCTAAAATTTTTGCAGTGGAAATTAAACGTGTCCAACTAAAACTACAACAAAATGAGGAAAAATGTCTATGTTTGCAGCGTGAGTATCAGCATGTACTCAATAATTTACAACAAAGCCAGAACGAGGTGGAACTATTGAAACATGCTATATTAACTGAACGTGAAGAAACCGTCAAACACATATCTCAGAAGGATGAAGCAATCAAGGAATTAGAAAAGAAACAAAAAACACTGCTAAAAAGTATTCGTGAAGAATTGAACCACAAGAATAAGGAAATAGATAATGCAACGTCGGAACTACATAAAAGACAGTCGCAAATAGAAGCAGAACGTCAATCTATGAAACTAGTAATGGCGCAATGGGAAGCTCATCGTGACAAAGCAAATGCTGAAGAAATTAACTGGAAGAAGAAATTTGAGGATTTGAAACATGATTTCGAAGAGGCGACTGGAATTTTACAAAAAAACTACAATTCAGCAAAGCGAACCATAAACAATTATAAGGTAATGCATGCTAATAATTATGAAAAATTATTGAATGGGTTATTTTGGTTTTAAAACGAAGATTGAATTTTTTAATATTAATTGAAATATTAATAATTTACTGCAAAGAAATACTTTAAAATAAATTTTTTTAAATATTTTTGCAGCGTTATAACGAAGATAAGGATGAGTTCTATAAAAGTGAATTAGTGCGGTTGAAGAATGAATATACTGATAAGCTAGCAAAGGTTAGTGCAGGTGTATCTGAATTCATTAAGAAGAATGAAGTGAGTAAAATTAAAAAATATATAAAAATTAAATAATATATGTATATAAATAGTGGTTATATACAGATTATAATAGTTTATAAGACCTGTTGTTTTTGTGATTAAGAGAGACTTACAAAGTATTACTATTGGCAATTTTTATAGATAGTTAGCATGAAGTTGTATTAGTATAACTACCGGTCGACTTCCTTTATTGTAGAGTCATATTGTCATCGACGACGACAAGTGACTTCAAGATGCAAACTTAACTACTCGTGGTATCAGTATTGCTAGTACTTTTAAAAAAGCATACGCTAGTTTGTAAATATTAAGTAAGATATGGTAAAACAATAGGTGTTTTATATTTATTATAACCAAAAATGCTTAATATCAAACTTTAAAAAAAAAGAACACAGAACAATGTTAAATGAGTCTGATATATTATTTTATTATTTCGAAGTCATACAAGCCAACAAACTTCCATTCCATGTATTGTTAAAATAGAAAAAAGATTTCAAGAACGACCGAGTCTACGTCCCGGAACCACTTGTCATTCAGACGACCAAGTGCCGTTTAACGTCTCCCAAAGAGATCACACAAACAGAATCCCGCGAATTACAACAACAACTGTATAGAAATGATCTACATGATCATATGAATATGGGAAATAGTGTGGAAGTCATTGCATTTTTCAACAAAAAAAAAAATCATTTGCAGAAAACATACTTCTATGTTCCTGAATGTCATTCTCAACAGTATGTTGATCATTTCTGGACAAACCAACCGATGTACAATCGACTGACATCTTGCAACAACATGTTGAAGCTTCCAGTATGTTCATGGGGTAAAGATACAGAAACTCTACTGCACACATACAAAGCAATAAGACACACAACACAATAATACCTAATCATGCCAAAGAACGGTTTACGGACTTCAACTGGAATTTGGAAATGGAATTCATAAGTTGAAAAATTTTAAATTATGAATTACTTAATTAAACGAACCTAGTCTAACGAACCAAAACAGATATTTCTATTCTAAATGGATTTGTTGTTTTATTATATAAAATTCTTATTTAATTAATCTAGTATTATCTTAAATATTAACAGAAATTTAAAATATTTTTTATTGATATCTATTTTCTCTTAGGAAAAGCAAATACAACAGTCACAATAATGAATCGAAATGAGACTAATAACGGGAGAGGTGTTCATAGAAATAAAAAAGAAATGGAAAGAAATGTAATATTTTAAGAGACAAATGGATATTAACCTGGTGTTATTATCTTTGTATTTCAATATATACTTTTTATAAATATTTTTTAAAAATGTGCTATATAGACTTTAATTTTAATAAAAAAACAAGTCATTGAAAATTAATTCAATTCCATTTCAGCAAATATTTTTATCAAAATATATTGATTAAATCTATTGATTAAAAATATCTAGTTTTTAAATTGTAGCTAAAATTAAATGAAGACTAAAGTGACAAAAAAATATATTTTATATATTTTTTTAAACAATTGCTAGAAAATATTATATGTTTAATTTAATATTAATATTTTATTTAATAATGTCTGTTAAAATAAATTAAAATGAATGTATAAATAAATGATATCTCATGTTAAAAAAATGAGTTGGGAATATGTAAATTCAAATTTCAAACTTTATGTTAAACAAATGTTAGAATTGTTTTTTAGAAAATAAATATTTATAAAAGAATTATT